TGTCCGTAAAAGGTATCACTGCCCTGTTGCTGCTGTGCATGGGGGACATGGCTCTGGGGCTGTTGGGGCTCGGCTCAGCTCAACATGGCTTGACATGGCGGATGCACAGGCATCCAGAGAAAGAGAGACAATAAGAGCTGTCCATCTTTGCAGATGGACAGAGGGTAGCCAGGACACAGCTTGGCCTGCTCGTGCCCAGGGAGAGGAAGAATTAAGCTGCTGACCCTGAAGGCAAGGGGGAGCTGGCCACGCAGCTGTGCATGGGGGTCGCTGGACTAAGCCGCTGAGACTGGGCAGACAGTGTGAGAGAAGCTGCTAATGAGAAAGCTAGTTTGAGAAGCTGTGCAAGAGAGCTGCTGCTGAAAAAGCCATGTCTCATTTACCTGCTATCTCTCGAGTGTTTTTCCAGCTCCCTGCCCCATGTCCACCCACTCCCTTCAGCCCTCAGCGGGAGCTGGAACCTGACCCTAAGCATGACATATCCTTACCTGACCTATACCTCTTAGGGCTGGTGAGAGTCAATATTGTTCCTCACTAGGGTTGGCCAAATGCTCCACAAACCCACAGCAAAGTGGCCATGCCCACTGGTGGATTGGTGGGTGAAACAGGGCAGATGCCTACAGCCTGGGAATCCATAGCTTCTTCCATTATACCTTTGTTCCCCAGGAGCCATTTGCCCATCCCAGCCACCTATCACATGCTCCTGGGGATTCAGCCCTCTAATTCTGGCTGCCTCTGGGAATCTTCTCCCTGACTCCTGCTTGCTGAACCTAGCTGTAGTCCCAACAGCAGAGGTTCCTGAGACCTCCAAGCAGGATCTCTTCCCAGGCTCTGCCTTCCGATGCCCTCCTCTCTGCCACCTCACCTTGGGTCCATGTAGGTTGGTGCTGGACTCTCTGGGTGAGCAGACATGTCACCAATCCCTGTTCTTCCACTGCCCCTGGTCAGGGCCCCCCTTGGGATTCCCTGTCTTGCTGTGATCACCTGGTGTTAAAGTGGCATGGAGCTGAGAAGTTTGAGGGGGACCTTGGGGTGCTACAGCTGCGGCTGAGCCCTGAAGGCTGTGTCTGGCAATGGGATAGGGCACTAGGGCAGTTGTCCTGCCCTTACCTGATGGCTGCCGGTCCAGGCTTGCAGGACTGAGAGTTGGCACTGTGCACATCTAGGAAAGAGGCAAAGCTAGCAGCTGAGCATGGCCTGGTCCAGGTTCGAGACTGTGTCTGTATGTCTGCACTCTCCCAAGAGAGTGGCTTCTGCCCCGATAGATCATGAGGACCAAGAAAATGCTCAAATGGACACTTGGGGCACAATATTTATCTCTCAAGGCAGTCTGACACCTGGGGCTCTGTGACATAGTGGTTGCTCCCTGGCGTTGCCTGCATTCAAATCATGCTTTCCTATCTCCTAGCTGTGTGACCTTGGGCATGTTACCTGACCTTTCTGGGCCTCAGTTTTCTCATCAGTGAAATAGGGATGATAATCATGTCTGTCTCATAAGTACTCTGAGAAAAGCAAATGAGTTCATAGATGCCAAGTACTTTGAGGAATGCCTGGGCCATAATATGTGCTCATGTGTTCCTGTTACTACGGGGCCCTGTGGCTGTCTGTCCACCTGTATTCACCCACTCAGTACGGATTTATTGGGGACTTTCGTACTCAACCTTCCCAGGGTTGAGCCACCTTCTCTGTGTCTCTGTAAACCGGGCAGACTGATGCTCACAGCGTGCTCAACAATTACTGAGCACTCACTAAGAGGCCCTCTTGTTTGGTCCCCAGACCTCTTTATACAAGTTGTATTTGTACAAGAAGAGGGCAGCAGGCCCTGGCCTCTGAAACCAGCGTCTCTGAGCAGGTCTAGGCAAAGGTCCCTGGGCCAGGGACTTGGTTCTTGGTTCTTTGAGCTGCCACTACTGGGGAAGAATCACTAAGTTCAATGATGAAGGAAATCCGTGAAAACGAACGGAAAAGAAAAGTGGTTGTTTCCACAAGAAACAGCCTTTCCTTTGGAAAAACAGTAAAGGATTTTGTTGAAAATCATTGTCAAACTAAGTGCGGTCAGCCCTCTGTGTTGTGAGTTTCACATCTATGGATTCAACCAACTTCAGATTGAAAAGATCTGGGGCCGGGTAAAGTGGCTCATGCCTGTAATCCCAGCACGTTGGGAGGCTGAAGTGGGTGGACTGCTTCAGCCCACGAGTTTGAGATCAGCCTGGGTAATATAGTGAAACATTGTCTCCACCAAAAATACAAAAATTAGCCAGGCATGGTGGTACACGCCTGTAGTCCCAGCTAGTCGGAAGGCTGATGTTGGAGGATCCCTTGAGCCCCAGACGTTAAGGCTGCTGTTAGCTGTGATCATTCCACTGCAGTCCAGCCTGGGTAACAGAGAAAAAACCCTTTCTGAAAAAGAAAAGAGGAGAGGAGAGGAAAGAAGAGGAAGATAGGAGAGGAGAGGAGAGGAGAGAAAAGATATTTGGGAAAAAATTTAAAAGAATGAGTGCATCCGTACTGAACATGTACAGGCTTTTTTTCTGTCATCATTCCCTAAATAATACAGTATAACAACTATTTACATACCACTTACATTGTATGAGGCATTATCCTAATCTAGAGATGTTTTAAAGGGTACAGAAGGTTGTGCATAGGTTACATGCAAATGCTACACCATTTTATATCAGGGACTTGAATATGCATGGATTTTGGTATATGAGAGAGGTTCAGGAACCAATGCCCCATAGATACCTAGGGACGACTATATAGGTAAGACAACTGTAAAAGACTAGATTAGAGCAGGCGCTGTGGCTCACACCTGTCATCCCAGCACTTTGGGAGGTCGAGGCTGGCGGATCATGTGAGGTCAGGAGTTCAGTACCATCCTGGCAAACATGGTGAAACCCTGTCTCTACTAAAAATACAAAAATTAGCCGGGCGTGGTGGTGCATGCCTGTAGTCCCAGCTACTCGGGAGGCTTAGGCAGGAGAATTGCTTGAACCCAGAAGGTGGAGGTTGCAGTGAGCTGAGATCGCACCACTGCACTCCAGGCTGGCTGGTAGAGCGAGACTCTGCCTCAAAAAAAAAAAAAAAAAAAAAAAGAAAGAAAAAATCCAGAAGATTCTTCAGATAATTTTATAAGCTACTTTGAGGCTTGGTTTCACTTTAAGGAACAGTGGCTTCTTGCTATGAGGGTGCATAAGCAGGAGGGGGCGACGTGGAGGAGCCAAGAACCGCAGACAATCACGGGAGACCAGAAGTCTTTCCTGTGCCAGCCGTCAGCAAAGCCAGTCAAGCTGCGCCACCGTGGGGACAGCGGTAGGAGCCCAGACTGGATTGAAGGCCATGGGTTCTGCCATGCAGGACCCAGTGGGCCATGGGAAAGTGTTTGGACTTTATTCTAAGGCAAATGGAGAGCCACTAGAAGGTTTTAGCCGGGGAGAAATGTGATCTAACTTTATTTTTAAAAGATCCCTCCAATGCCTCTGCAGACAGCAAAAAGATGCAGGCTGCATGGACAGGGCTCTAGCAGAGTCCTCCCCATTAGTGGCAGCTCCAAGAACACAGTCTTAGGTGACCTTTCGTTGGATCTGCTCAGAAACAGGGGTTTCAAATGCCAGAACCTGCTTTCCCCTTCTTCCTGTGTTGACTTGTGGGCCTGGATTTAGAAGTCAGGCTCAAGCTCCAGGCGTGAATTGCACACTATTGAAGTTAGTGAGGGAAAGGGGCCCAGGTGTGCTGAGGGAAGCAGGAAAGCAGTCAGTGGGGCCTCCCCCACAGGACTCCCTGTTTGGCCGGACTGCAGTAGGATTCAGGAGGCAGATGGTATCTTGAGGTTGTAGCTCTTTGCAGACGCCGGCTTTGCCACTCTTCCCTAGCCATCTTCTCCAAACCAGAAGGGCTCTAGCACAGTTTGGAGCTAAACTATTTATGCCAACATCTGCACACCTAGCCTTTGCCCCAAAGATGATTCAGGCTTCGTTTGGAACCATTTAGGGACAAGTGGGACCTTTCCACTCCTCAAATCACCTGAGAAAGTGGCCCAGGTCCAGCTGCTCTTCCTCTCCCTGAACCTCAGAGCAGAGCTGGCTGGGGGAGGTGTGGGGCAGGAAAAGGGGACGGGGACAAAGCAGGAGCAAAGCGCCTCCTAGCTGGTCCTCAGAGCAAAACCGAGAAGTAACAACTTCCGGTTGTTACAAATGCCGACTCTTCCATCATTCACTCATTAGTTTGTCCCCACACGTTCATTGGACCAGCCCAGGACCAGCACCATGTGCGGTGAGGGCTCCAGCTGTGAGTGGGCCTGGTGCCCACTCTGGAGGAGCTTGACGGCCAGTGGCAGGGGTCAGAAAAAAGAACAAGATTCCAAGAAGTAGAAAGCCCAAGGACACAGGATGTGGTGGAGGGCGGAAGTGTAGGAGAAGCAGTAGACAGGGGCCATGGGAAGTGACCACTGCCCCACCCCCAGCAGCCCAAGCAGCCTGGCAGGCTGACCTTGGCCTGTCACCAGGGGCATGAGAGAACATGCCTCCCCTGGGCAGCTCACCTTTCTCTCTTGGAGCCGATGTCTACTGCAGCCACGCCTTCAAGCCGGGAGCCCGGGGCTCCGGATCCCACATTGCCATCACTCAACTGTGCACTTGACCTGTTATGAGAAGAGGAGCATTTGCTGACTCTGGTTGCGTTTTGATCTCAGCTAACCCAGATGCCATGGCAGTGGGCCTCAGGACCAGAAGCACAGGCCTTTGGCTGCTATTCTGTGTTGCTCTGACCAGAGCTGAGCCAAGCCCAAGTTGACTCTAACAGGAAGTATTTATGTGTTTTTCCCAAACCTGATGGGTTGGTTGGGAGTAAGGTGGAAGATAAGGAGGAGGCCAGATCGTGCGGGGCTGATTGCCAACAGAACAAGGGGCGAGGCATGTGAGGCTGGTAATAAGCCATAGACGGCTCCCCTTCCTCATTCCCAGGGCTCAGTGTCCCAACTGGGGGCTCCAGGGATGCACAATGAAAAGAGGGGTCTGTGTGTTCTTAGCTGTAACTTGCCACCAGGTTTGCATTGAGGAAATGCCCAGTTTGCAGCCACTGCTCACCAGACATATTTGGTGCTGGTCTGACTTAGAACAATCATCCCATCTGGACTCCAACTTCCCATCCTGGATCCCTCACCCCTTGCCACCATGTCTCCCACAGTCCACAGGTCACCTTGACAATGTCTGCCACATGCTCTATGGGGGCCCGCATACTTTGGTCACTGACTCTCCCAGACTGCCAGCTCGGTGGTCTTGCTTTGCCCTAGCCATTGGCAGGGCTGCTTTACCCTGCAGTAAAAGCATAGTGAGTGTGGAAGCTTCAGGGGAATGGAAGGAACCCCGCACCGGCCAGGAGCTGAGGGTGGCCTGTCCTGGAGTTTGGTCCTGCTCTGCAACTGGCTCCCTGAGGAATCATGGCAGGGGCCTACACCCCTCCAAGCCTCATTTATTTATTCATTAATTCATTCTTTCAACAGATATTCATTAAAGACCTGCACTACCACAGACACTGGGGCACAGCGGGAAGAGGACCATTCTGGCCCCAGCTGCATCCATGGCCATTGCACCAGAGGCCATGGAAGTCCTTCAGCTGGGTGTATGTGGGCTCCATGTTCTGGGAATGAAGTGTCTGCTTCCTGTACTGACTTACCTTTCATCATCTGTGTTGGGGCCCCTGAAGGCCTCCTCGCCAGCCAAGTCCCTCTGGAGCTCTCTGGAGCAGGGAGCCTCCTTGTCTTTGTGGCCTGGGGAAGACCTACGGAGGAAAAAAAATGGAAGTCAACCACACGGCAGCCATTCACACTGAGGTGTGGGCTGCTACCTTATCTGCAAATGCCAGCTGTCTCCACAGAGCTTAAAACCTGCTACTGGGCTGGGTGCAGTGGGTCACGCTTGTAATCCCAGCATTTTGAGAGGCTGAGGCAAGAGGATCACTTGAGCCCAGGAGTTCAAGACCAGCCTGAGATACATAGCTAGACTCCATCCCTAAAAAAATATTTTTGAAAGTTAGAAGTGGCGGTGCATGCCTGTGGTCCCAGCTACTTGGGAGGTTGAGGCAGGAGGATCAGTTGAGCCTGGAAGGTTGAGCCTGGGCACACACAGCAAGATTCTGCCTGAATAAACAAAAACAAACCCTTCTGGTTGACAGAGTGGCCAGTTCTCAAAACCTCATCACTAATAGCTACTGTTTTTTGTTTTTGTTTTTATTGTTGTTTTGTTTTGTTTTGTTTTGTTTTGTTTTTTGTTTTTTGGTGTTTTTTTTTTTTTTTTTTTTGCTGCTATGCTGCAATTACAGGCATGAACCAGTGTGCCCAGCATAGCTACTGTTGATTGAGAGCTTGAGCCTGTTGTCATGACTTTATATGCATTAACTCTGCAAATCAACCCCAGGTTATGGGCACTGTTATCACCCATGCACATTTTTAAGATGAGCAAACAGAGGCATACAAAGCTCATGTGGTTTGCCCCAAATTTCACAGATAGTAAGAGGAGTAACTGGGAATTGAACCCAGGCTGTCTGACTTCAGAGTTCTGGACTATATTCCTTTATAGTGTAAGGCTGATCCTAACCTCCTAACTCGAGCCCCCTTCTGTTCTCCTTCAGGTCATCAGGAAACCCCATGTTGTCAAATCCGCCAGAGACGGTCTCATCATTATTTCAAACCACCGTTCAATACTGCCGACCCAGTGGGCCATGCCAGCCCTCCTCCCTTGAACCTGTCAACACCTCCTACCTACCTCCCTGGCCACAGCCGTTCCTGGTCTCCACCTTTTTCTGCTCCCCTTCACGTGCTCCACCACCTACTGAACCATCTCCTCCCCTCCCAAAGCATCAACTGCCACCCTTGAACCAAGGACCTCCACTTGTTCCCGCCTCTCCTCAGGAGGGATGGCCAGGTGGCTGCCACCTGCACACTGAGGACGGTGCCCAGCTTCCATTGGTTCGCCATGATCCCCATGTAAAGCTAGTTTATGCTCATGATTCCAGCTCTATTCTGTCTGCATATAACATGGAAATCTCTTGATCCTTGATCACTCTCAAACCTCAATCACAAACCTTCAAATACCTCCCTCCTGGAAATTTTTACTTGAATGCCTACGAATAAACTCATCAAATGAGTTCACTCGGCAAATACCAAGTCTTTCTATCACTGCTCCCTGACCCAATTAGTACAATGAGCTGTGGTACAGAAGGTGGGAGGTGGGAGTCGGGCAGGCTGGGCGGATCTGCCTGCTCTGGACCATGTGACCTTGAGCAAGTTACTTAACCATTCAGGGTCTCAGTTTCTTCATTTGTAAAATGGGCATAGTGACTGTATCTGCATCCATGTGCAATGGACGCTGTGATGCCTGGGGAAGAAACTTAGGAGAAGGAGGTGACCCAGAGGAGAGGACATTTGAGGTGGGACAGAAAAATGAACAGGGGAAAGGGCATCTCAGGCAGAGCCACCAGCCCGCACCAAGAAAAGCCCAGGGAGGGAGGAGCCTGAAGGTGGGGCCAGATACCGAGTTCAGGCTGCAGAGGATAGTGGGAGGGGTTTTGCAGGGCTTTCTGCAGGAGCTGGCGTAACTACTTCTGCTCTTTGAAACATCACCAAGGTAGATGTGGAAGGCAGTCCTGGACCAGGGGCACGGAAATAGGGATGGAAGCATCTCTAAACTAAAACGGATAGGACTTGGTGCCTTGGGGGTGGAGGTGAAGTGGGAGGAGCCAAGGGGGAGTGTAAAGGGACCTAGAGACAGCTCAGGACTCATCTTGAATGTCACTTCCTCTAGGAAGCCCTCCCCAAGCATGCCCACCCACCACACTGTTGAGAGGCCTCTGCTCAAAGCTCCCGCCACCCCAGGGATTAAGGGATGACTTCCAGTGTACACTCCCGCTTCACTCCCTGGTCTCTGGACTTCATAAGGTAGGGGTCCAGTCTCCCTGCTATGATGTCTCCTAACCTCCACCCCAGTCCCCAAACCCTGCCTTCATGTCACCTGGTTGGCTGTCCCCTGCCCCAGGGCAGGGGCTGAGCCCCTCGTGCTCCCTGCTGGTGGCCTCCTTGACCCACCTTTCCCTAGCACAGAGCCCAGTGGCATGGAGTGCTGTGGACTCCGACCCAGTGACTCCAATCGATTCCCAGTGGCTGTCTTACACAGGCAGGGCAATGACCTCAGCGGCCTTCACGAGCTCCTCAGACCCAATCCTCCTCCCACCCCCACCGAAGTCCCCAGCATGGCTTGCTGGTTCCATCTTCAGGGATTGGCAGGGTTGAGCTGTCACTTCCCAGGGACTCCTGTCACACAGCGAGGTCAGCATCTCTGGCTGACCTTACTCATGCTCATGTTAACATCTGCCTCCCCCCACCAGGCAGATGGCAATTCCAGCCGAGGGTCCTATTCACTACTGTGTCCCAGGGTTGGGCTTGCGGCCTTCCACCGACCAAGTGCTTGCTCCGTAATGATTTTCTGAGTGAAAGAATGAGATAGGGCAGAGAACCCAGGTCAACCATGCCTCCCACCAACATGTTGGCCCTGCAGTGGCACAGCCAGCCCTAGGCCTCATCATTTGCCAGCTGAGGCTGCTGCCTCCATCTCTAGAATGCGTGCAGGGAGCCCCGTACCTCATGCCTTCCAGGTCTGGGGCCACCAGGCGGAGTCCTGCCCTCGGTGTCAGGATCTGCAGGCGGACAATTTCCTCGCCTCTGGAGCTGTGGGCCAAAGGAGAGAGCCAGCGGGTTGCAGGTGAGAAGAGACCCCGCCCCCCGCCCAGGCACAGCCCCCTTTCGTTTTGCTCTTATCTCCTCCTTGGCCTTGAGCCTTGTTGCTGCTGCAGCTGAGCTCGGGCCACTGACCTGCAGGCCCCAGAGGAAGGGGCATCAAGGGCCCCTTCCCCAGTCTCCCACCTCTGCCCTGAGCCCAGCCCTGCCTCAGGCGCAGCAAAGGTCCTTCTGGGTAGAAATGAGACCTCCTGACCCCAGCCTGTGGCCCCACCAGGAGATCCAAAGTGGCCATTTGTGAGGCCAGGGTACTTCTGCATTTGTGGGCTGGTGGAGACTTAGGGGTACGAGAGGCTGAGAAAACCCCAATCTGGAATGAGGCCCAGTGGGATGGGATGTCACAGAGTCAGGGGTGAGGACAAGTGCTTAGGGGTCTGCGAGCTGGAGCCCAGGGAGGAACGACCCGGCCAGTCCACAAAGGGCCCTTGTGAGGTTTCCTCTTGCCAGCCATGCTTAGAGCCCTCCCCCAGGTGACCACAGGCCACCCTGGACACACATCCTCCAAACCTGATGCATTCTCTGGCTGCACCGCAAGGCATGACGCCCAGCAGTTTTGGCCACAGTGCTGGCCAAGCCCAGAGAGAATATACGGTTCACAGGTTTTGGGGGGTAGGCACTTCACCCCAAACCAGACCTCTTTAGGCCTGTGGAGCAAAGCCTGATCCCAAGCCACATTGCAGTCACTCCTGCCTTTGACTGTCTGTGGCTGCTTATCTCTGACCCTCCACTTCCACCGTGGCCAGGGCCTGGAGAACTCAAAGCTACCAGAGGGAAATGGGAGGGCTACCGAGGACAAGGCCTTTCCCAGCATGAAAGCCAGGAAGGGCCCTATACACAAAGACAGATGGCTTCTCCCCATCTTCTTTTATGATAATGATGATGACATCGTTGTTGAGGATGATGTCATTTATGATGACAGTATAAAACCCTTGGCTGCCCTGGATGCCACAGAGAAGCGCAACATATTTTCTCAAAGGCGTTTCTGGTTCTGTCAGGGACGAAATGGGAACAAAGTGTCACCCCAGCCTGTTCTCTCTTTCATGCCCTTGTGCCTCTGCCCAAGCTGATGTTTCTTCCTCAATGGCTTCCTCCTCCTCTGTCATCCCCCAAACTCAAATGGCACCTCTGCCAGGAGGGCTGTTAGGGGTTGAATGGTGTCCCCCAAAAAGACATACTGAAGTCTCAACTCCTGATGTTTGTGACGTGATCTCATTTGGACAGACGGTGTTTGTGGCTATAATCTAGGTAAGATGAGGCCATGCTGTAGGAGCAGGGGGGGCCCTCACCCAGTGACTGGTGTCAGACCAGGGACATTTGGACACAGACACGGAGGGACGATGGAGGTGTGAAGACGGAGGCTGAGATGGGACTGAGGCGGGTGCAAGCCAGGAGGAAGAGGAAGGTGTGGAACAGATGGTCCCCCAGAGCCTTCGGAGGGAGCGTGGCCTGCCGACACCTTGATCTCAGACTTTCAGCCTCCAGAATTGTGAGAGAATAAATGCCTGTGGTTTTAGGACACTCCGTTTCTGGTACCTTGTTACAGCAGCTCCAGTAAACTAATACAGGGGTCTCTCCTCCCCTGCAAGCTGCTACCAGTCCCACCACCACCCCAGATTCTCAACCACAGGCAGCTCTAGTCCATCTGAAGTCCGGGACCACGCTGGGAGGCTGCACACCCTTGGAAGGCACTCAAGGAACAGAGGCATCTGCTGAAGCCGGAGGCCTGAAACTGATCACAACCACCTGTGGGCATGCAAGTAACTGTGGCCTGTGCCAAGTGGTGGATGACTTGTGATTCATCCTGCCAAAGAGCAGGGAGGCTGGGGATGTGGGGGCTGGTGGAGGGGGGAACCTCGTTTTCACTGCTTTTGGCTGCATTTCCCTCAGATGCCAGCAGGTGGAGATATTGGTCTCTTCCCAGTCATAGTCCTGCTGAGCCCCTGAGGATACCAGCACCCAGGCATTGTGCTAAGTACTTCAGCTGCATTATCTCACTTAGTGTTTGGAACAGCCTTGGGAAGTAGCTACTCCTGCTCTCCCTGTTTTACCCACGGGGAAACTGATGCACGGAGAGACAGAGACTTGCTCCAGGTTACACAGTCGGTCTGATGCAAAGCCAGGGTTTTGTCCTGTGCCTGAAGCTGTGCTCCGACTCCCTGCTCCCCAGACCCACTGCCAGGCAGCATTCTGGGCACAGCCTAGGACCAGGACCCAGGAGGCCTTGCCCCGGTCAGGTGAGGCAAGCTTGGTCAGTGCTGCGGATAAAGCAGCCAGGTCTGGGGTTGTCAAGAAGGGGTGCTCGCACAGAAGCAGTTTCTCCAAGACAGGGTCCCTAGAGTGCACTCAGGTCACAAGGGGGGCAAGAGTTCTGAGGAGCTGAGAGAGACAGGGCAGGGCCAGGGGTGGGGAGAGGGCCGCCTTGATGGGGTTATGCCTGGGGACAGGGCTGTGACATTCTCCTCTTTCACTGTGCCACAAACCAGCCTTTTCTGAGGTGCCGCAGGACTCTGAGTTTGGTTGAGTTATTGCTCCGCACGGGTTGGGCTCCTCAGACACCAGGCAGATGGGAGCTGGGCCTGGGAGGACGGATGGTGGCTGCCTGGCACAGTGTAGCACCTAACAGGGTACGGTCAGAGAAGACGGCCCTCCAGGTTTGGGATCAGCCAGCAGCTTTCCTGGAAGCTGCCTGGTGGGCTCCAAACATTGAGTGACCAGAATCGGAGAGAAGAACTATCAGAAGCATCAAACTGAGCCTCCTGTTGGGAGCTTCCCCTGGACCCTGAATCTCTAGCCTGTATGTGCTATGGCAGCCTGAACAACCTTAAAAACCACCCTGCGGTGACAACCATATGATGAGTGTTAAACATCCAAAGGAAGTTTTTGGAATAAATGTCAAGGTGCCTCTTAAATCTATAATAGAATCTATAATTAGAACAATCGAATTATCCTCCGTCATCTCTCTTGTTTCCTTTTGTAGAGACAGGGTCTTGCTCTGTCGCCCAGGCTGGAGGGTAAAGGTGCAGTCACAGCTCCTGGCAGCCTGCAGCTCCTCTGTTCAGGTGGTCCTCCTGACTCCGCCTTCTGAGTAGCTGGGACTACAGGTGTGCATCAATGCTCCCAACTAATTTTTTATTTTTTTTTGTAGAGATGGGGTCTTGCTATGTTGCCTAAGCTGGTCTCAAACTCGTGACTTCATGCCATCCTCCTGCCTTGGCCTCCCAAAGTGTTGGGATTACAGGCATGAGCCACCATGCCCAACCTCCTATATTATCTTTTAAAAGACACCTGAAACCATTTGTTGCCTTTCTTCAGCAAAGAAATAAGGAGAAATGAGAAGTGTATACTGCTATGGGCTGACTTGTGCCCCTCAAAATGTATACATTGAAGTCTTAACCCCAGGACCTCAGAATGTTGCTGCATTTGGAGATGAAATCTTTAAAGAAGTGATTCAGTTAAAATACAGTTGTTAGGCTGTGCCCTACTCCAATAGGACCAATGTCCTTCTAAGAAGTGATTAGGGTCTGGGCGTGGTGGCTCATGCCTGTAATCCTAGCATTTCGGGAGGACAAGGTGGGCGGATCATGAGGTCAGGAGTTTGAGATCAGTGTGGCCAACATAGTGAAACCTCATCTCTACTAAAAATACAAAAAAGTATCTGGGTGTGGTGGTGTGCGCCTGTAATCCCAGCTACTTGGGAGGCTGAGGCAGGAGAATCTCATGAACCCGGGAAGTGGAGATTGCAGAGAGCCGAGATCACGCCATTGCACTCCAGCCCAGGCAACAGTGCGAGACTCCTTCTCAAAAAAAAAAAAAAAAAAAAAATAGTTCTGAAATCTCCCTCTCCACATCTTCAAAGCTTCTTATGGATGGAAGTTCTTATGGGGAGGGTCAGGCAAGCAGAAAAGATCAAGAGAGGGACAGAGTGAAAAGGAGGAGCACTCCAGCAGTCTGCTGCCTGGGGCCACGGAGGAAGCTGGCCTCGTCCTCCTGGCTCCTGCTGCCAGCATTTCTGTCTCCCTCCCGGCACCAAGGAAGTAACCCTGAGAACAGCAGTCACCTGTCTATAAATCGCTGTGCAGCTCAAATTGGGGGATTGATACAATATTAGGACAGGCACTCTCCCTTTCCGGCTACAGGGGTCTTCCAAGGGTGCTACAGAGATGCGGCTCTCAGGAGACCAGGATTTGAGCAAAGGTCTCAATCCAGGCAGACACTTTAAACAGCAGCAACAGCAGGGCGGTGGTCTCCCTGCAGGCGTTAGCACGATTCCGCACAAAGTACAAGAAAGTATTGGTTGTCCACAGACAAGAGAGCACCATTATCTGCCCAGATTCTCAGGGATCAGAGATCAGGACAAATCGCGGCCCATCCTGGAGTGAGATTACCTGTGCTCAGCCTGTCCCTGCTCCGCCACCCCACCGTCAGACCCTCCCCAGCTGGCAGAACCAGCCAGCCAGGCCGGCGGGAAGCCGTCACACCTGCTCACTCACAAGCCAGAGTCAGCTCTCGGCACCCACCTGGGCTCCTGACTCCCAGTGGGGCTACGCATACTCGGCAGGCACTCGATCCAAATTGCCCGAGATGCTTTGGTCCTGCCTCCATCCACACTGGCAAAGAAGGTGGCTGTGAGAGGTTCTGGAGATGTCACAGCCTCCCCCTGGGCGTGCTGGAGTGTGGGGAGCAAGTCCGACAGTGGCAGGCTACTGCCATGGTGGCTGGCCCTCTCCAACCCCAAGGTTGGCTGACTGGTGCAAGGGTTAAGGTGACACACACACGTACTCAACAGACAAGAGCCAGGCACTCCGTCTCTCTGGAGGCTGGACTGTTTTGCTCCTTTCAGCCCTGGGACATTCAGCCAGATGGGCCCTCACTGACTTCTGTATCCCATCTTGTCATTGGGCACATGGGGACACTGATCTCGAAGCCCAGCAGGGAGGTCCCCTGACAGAGGTTCCTCAGGGGATTACCTGTTTGAGCTAGGAGTGGATCTTGCCAGAGCAGGTGGGCCGCGGCTCTTCTCTGAAGGCCCGTCCTCTTCCACCACCTCCACCCTTTGGGCAAGAAGAGAAATGGAGCCCGTGGTCTTCTTGGCTGCCCTGGAGCCTGCAGACCTCTTAGGACGTGCTTTCAATGGCGTCTAACTGGCCCAACCCTTCAGGATCAGGGCCAAGAGGTGGCCCAGGAGGTGGGCTCAGCAACTCCAGCTCAAGATAAGGACAGCATACTGGGTTGAATAGTGTCCCCCCAAAATTCATGTCCCCAAGAACCTGTGACTGTAACCTTATTTGGAAATAGGGTCTTTGCAGGTGTAATCAGGTAAGATGAGGTCATACTGGAGTAGGAGGGTCCTAAATCCAATGACTGCTGTCCTTCTAAGAAGAGGGAAATCTGGACACAGAGAAAAGAAGGGCATTTAAAGACAGAGGCGCAGACTGGAGTCATGCAGGTACAAGCCGAGGAACGCCAAGGATCGCCAGGAGAGTGGCCTGGGACGGTGTCTCCCTCAGAACCTCCAGAATGAGCCCAGCCTGCTAACACCTTGATCTAGACTTCTGGTCTCCAGAACTAGGAGAGAATCCCTTTGTGTTGTTGGAAGCCACTCAGTTTGTGGTACTGTGTTACAGAAACCACAGGAACCAAATGGGGTCAGCAAGATCCCCACCCGCCATTCTCTGTCACTTCCTTTGTGCTGCCACCAGCCCTACTCACTGTACTCCTGCCAAACTTCTGTCTTCCAGTGCAGCAGCTGGTCCCACCCTGGGCCTGTGCACCGCGGGGCCCTCTGCCTGGGCAGTGGGTATGCTGGCTTCTCCTGGGCGTTCAGTCCCCAGCTGGCCACCTCAGCACGGAGAGAGGCCTTTCCCGTCCACTCAGCTGGAATTCCCTCAAATTCAACTTTCCAGAAGTTTCTTTCCTGCTTTCCCCCGAATATTTTCCTCCTCCAGAAGGCAGTCTGTCTCAACTAATGGTGACACCCCTCCCTCACTCAGCTGGAATGTCCTGACTTTCTGATCATTCCCTGGTAAGCCTTGTTCACCGTTTAGGGCCCATCTCCAATGTCACAGTCACCTCCCAGGGGAAGTTCTCCTGATGGCCCAGATTTTGATCCTGGATGAGAGCAGAAGGCAAGGCAAGAGGCAAGCAACAGGGGCAGGGGAACAACTCCCGGAGGGCCTTGGAAATGCTGCATCTTGGGTCAAGGGTCCAGCCCCATTAGCCATATGCTGCCACAGCCACGCAGGTGCTTGCCTGGCCTCCAGACAGAAGCCACCAGCCCCTCACAACTCCCCTTGCTCAGAGACAGTAGTGCCCCCACCCACATCCCCTCTACACAGCTCCTACACTACACCTCTGTGGACGGCAGGCCTTCCTGTGGCCAGTAACAGGCTTTTAGGATGTCCCTTGATGACACTTACCTCTTCGCAATAAACGGAGCCTGTGTCTCCTGTGTAGGAGTGCTGGAAAGGAAGCAGAAAGGCAATGTGTTGGGCACAGCCCGAGGGCAGGCGACATCATGACTGCTCTACCACAGAAGGTCCTGGGCCCTTTCCCACTCCCGTCACCTCACCTTCCCTGATGGTAGCTGCCAGACCTTTCCATTTTCTAGAAAGTGCATCTGAGAATCCGAGAAGGCTTAGCTAGGAATGCCCTTGGGGGTGACCTCTCCACCCACCCTTTCATCAGGCAGAGAAGACTGAGCCCTGAGCGCGAAGCCGGCTGACGGCAACTCACCCTGTGCTCTTCTTGGCCGCGGACAGCACGTACGAGCGCTCCCGGGGAGCTGTCCTCCTCACAACACTGCTCACAGCCTGTGACCTGGGGTGACACGGTGGGGAGAGAGCATCTGATGGGTTCCAAGCTGGACATGCACTGCCAGCCTAGCCTGGGATGGACTTGGGATGACTCAGGGCCACCCCAGGGAGGTGAGGGTTCAGAGAAGCCAGATTTGTACCTGCTCCAAGAACCATTCAAAGGAAATGTAGAAACTGAAGGAAGGGCAGCCCACGTTTATTGAGTGTGTGGCGTGTGCCCGGCCCTACCCCTGATGCCAACTTCCTCACATTGGCTTATTGCTCTTCTCGGTCCAGGAAAGTAGGCGCTAGTACCCTCTGTGATTTACAGATGAAGCAGCTGAGGCCGAGAAGCTTTCATTACTTGTCCAAGAGCACTCACCTAGCAGGTGGTGGAGCCGGCATTCAACGCTAGGCGGCTCCTAGCTTCTGGCTCTTTTCCTTGCTCCGCCCAGGCCTGGGGGGCCCTGCCACTGTGAACTAGCCCCTGAAGATTGCCAATCTGCCAGGGCCTTTGGCAGTAGGACTTTGCTGTGCTTCCTGAGCCACAGATCTGGAACTGGGGACAGGCTGAGCCCAGGGAGGGAAGGTGCTCAGCAAAGCCTTCCTGTCAGTTCACCAGCACTGAGAGGTGTGAGGTCAGTGCCCATGGACAGAGCGCTGAGGAGGGGCAAGGGCTGACAGATGAGCCTTTCACCCATTCAGGTCCATGGAGCTTTGCTGGCCTGCGTGGATGAGGCTGGTTTGGCGCAGAGACTGCGGTAGAATGTCACTGCTGTCCATGCCTAGACCTACGTTTGGGATCCAGGGGGCATTTGGAACCGTGGCATCAACCCATTCTCCTAAGGCATGCAGATCATGCAGGTAGAACGCGCTGTGCAGGCAGTTTCTCCCTGGATGTTTTTGTCCAACTGTCTCAGGGCCCTTTCTAACAAACTGAGGCTTTTACCTGGACCCCCATTACCTCGGGTCCACACCACGGAAGGCTCTCAAGGGCCCCTCAGCTGGCCCAACACCAAGTGGGTGGCTCTGGTACTCAGAGAATGACACCTATTCATGCCGCGTGTGCTACCGCGGATGGCCGATGTGTTGTGCATTTTGTCGCCCCAAGCACTATAGTTCATGCCAGCAGTCTTCAAAGACTCACGCTCCTGCCCTGCCCCCAGATGCCCAAAAGGCACCATTCCATTACCTCCGTTTCGGTTCATCTGACGAGAAAGGCACCTCCTCCTCCTCCTCGGTGTCCCCTGAGGTAGAGCTGCGCCTGACATTGTAGGGTGCCCTAAGAGAGGGGAGAGTTGCCTTCCCATCATAGGCTGTCGCCCTCAGCAGCTGGGCTCCCCGGTTTTCAACAGTGATACGGCACGTCGGTATCTTTGGACCTTAGCTCATGCCACTGTTCCTCCTGAGAGCAAGCTCTCCCCTCCTTCCCTGTTCGAGCCTCCCCTGCTTCCCCAGAAAGGTTTCCCAGCTGCTCCCCATCCCTGGATGACGGAAGCAAGGGACAAACAACAGCAAGATGTGGTCCCCTGGGAACTGGAGGCACAATTCACGTGTCTGTCCAGAGAGTCCCCTCTCTGAGCATGCAATGTGGGTGGTGTGCTTTGAAAGGGACCCCAAGGGGCGCACTAAGGGGAACCTCAAAGGTTTCTATCCAAGAGTCAACTCAAATTTAGGCACATGATGCTCAGGCGGCAATAGCATCCTGAGGATCCCCAGGCCCACAGCCCAGCCAGGCAGAGCATCTGAGGCTCGGCGGAGGGCAGGGCCATGGCCAGGAAGCACGGCCGGGCAGTAGCAGCCCTGTGACCCATGACCCTTTCCCCAGACGCGTGGGGACCCTCCTGCAAGCTTCCTGCAGTCGCTGCCCTGCCTCAGATCAGACGCGCAATGTGAATGGCCATCCAGTTTTCTGGGGCTTGTTACCCTCTGGTGGGCTCCAGGCCACAGCTGCAACTGGCAGGGAGTGTCAGGCAGGTGGGACTTCCTGGGCTGCACTCGGAGGCAGGTAAGCCAGCCGCCTTCAGCGGACCCAGAGTTTGGACTGGTTCCTTGCAGGAGGGAACCACACTGAGCCTGGTGTTGCATACTCACAGCTTCTTGTAATCCTCAGTGGTCATCTTGTAGCCAGAGGAGGAAGGGCGGGGAGGACCGGTGTTAGGTGTTCTCACCAGAGTGGCAGCACTAGAGAGCAGAAGGTTCCATGTGTTGACCTGCAGGCTCCCTCTTGCCCCCAGATTTGGCCACACGGCCCAGTGGACATGTGACACGTGGACCACGAGCTGCCTGAGGGCCTTTTCTCTTTGCTTTTGGCCCTGGCAGACACCCAGAACTTCGCCACTCAGAGCAGGGCAGCCCCGGCTGCCACAGGCAAACCCCAGCGAGCTTCAGGGAACAGCCCAGCGGGTTGCTGCCTGTGTCTTTGCTTCCTGTCTCCTGGTCTCCTTGGACTTTCCAGCGTGATGGAGCCCCAGGTGACACCTGATGCCAAGGTGCTCGAATGGCATGCCACATTTGCCTGCTCAATGCCATCAGCAAGCCAAATCAAGGGTGCCCACTGCCAGGCCACGGCGACTCTACACCCAGCTCCTCCCAAACTCCTGCACCTCTCTGTCCCAGTAGCCAGGCCTAGTCAGGACTGACCCCAGGACAAGGACACTGTCAGTGGCCCAGGAACTCCCAGAGACCCACTCCAACTCATCTCCTCTGTCCTCCCTGCCCTGCTCTCCAGCATCCTGTGCTACAGAAGATGAGTGCTGGCACCTCCAAGGCCCCATACCCCTGACAGGCAGAGCGCTCTCTCTGCCACGAGCCCAGGCCAGGCCCTCACACCTCCCCACTGGCTGACACCCCATGGACGTACCTTTTCGTAGTCCCATTGGCCTTGGGGAACTGCTGCTGAGGCTGGGAAGAGCTGTCTATAGGCCTGGTGAACACTCCCCTAAAAGAGAGCACAGAAGATGCTGCTGAGCTCCCTGGAGAGGCTGGAGGGTAAGAAGTCAGGGGTTGGTGCGAGGGGACACAGGAAAGCTGGCAGGGTCCTGTGGTCGCTTACCGGATGATGTAGCCAGTGGGAGCCCTGGTGCTCGGAGGCCTGCGGAAGGGAAGGAGGGGTGGAGTGAAGCGAGGCTTGCTGGAGGGCTCAGCTCAGTCTACTTTATTTATGCTGCCCTTACCTACAGCAAATAAGGTTGGCTGGCAAGTGTGCCAGCTGTTCCGGTGCAGCAGAAATGAGGGGGTGCCAACCCTCTGTGCCCCTAGCCAGGTGCCCGATCTGCTCTGCCTATTTCCCTCATGGTCCCCCAGGAAAAGTGCCCAGGGTGACTCCTCATGGCAGGTGTCAAGGAAAGCAGTTCACGGCCTCTCCAAAGTCCAGCTTCTCCCTGGCCGGCCGGGCCCCAGTGCTGCGCCGAGGGAGTGCTCCTCTCAGCTGACAGCCTCCCATCCTCTGCGCTCCGGGCACAGCCAGCGCAGGCTACAGGCTCCCGGGTCAGAGCCCGAGGCTTCCCCTCAACCCGGGGCCTGCCCTCATCTCCCCGCTGACAGCCTCCACCAGGAAGCTGCGTGAGGGCTTGAGGGGAAGGGGCCAGGCAGCTGCCAGCCAAAGCCAGTTGTCCCCTTTCCTGTCCCTCAGGCCCTCTTTGCTCCGCCTCCTACCATGCCCACATCCCAAGTCTTGGTGGAAGTTTGATACGAGAGGGCATGGCCAGGTCTTACTCAGTGGCTGGGAAATGTTAGGCTCTGGGGCAGCAACTGACGGGGCTCAGAGAACTCCACGGACTGGGGGTGGGATGGGGGCGCAGCCAAGGTGAGCAGGCTGGGAGCTAACAGACAGGGTGGTTGGCCTGGAAGTTCTGGGCTCAGGAGTGAAGGGTCCCTGCGGAGTCCTCCTCAGGGTTGGGGGAGGAGTCAAGGGGTCAGGATAGACCCTTCTGTCCAGCAGTTGAGGGGATTTCGGCTGGAGCATTGGGGTTTGGGTCAGGGGCAATGCAGAGCCCCAGCATAGTCTCCTTCCTAACAGGGGACATAGTCTCCTTCCTCAACCCCACAGTCTCCTTCCTTAACAGGGGACAGCCTCCCAGAGGTAGCCATGTTGCAGCCACACTTGGGGGTTCTCTCTTTCGTATTGGGCTGTTTAGTGGGGTCCTCCCTGAGTCCCCTGCTGGGATGTCAGTTTCCTGAAGACAGGGCCTTTGTCTTGACCACTACTGCATCCTCTGTGCTCAGCAGGGGACCTGGCAGGTAGTGGGCGAGGAGTCATTGAGGGGTGACAGAGAGACTAGTTACTAAGGGCAGCCCCAAGGGCTGGCTGTAAGCTTGAGACCCTCCCTTCCAGATGCCGATGCCACTGCCTCTACTACCCCTGAGAAGCCACCTGCCGGCTGTTTGGATCAAGGAGTGAACCTGGATTTCAGTTCCCTTTCTGTGAGGAGCAGTTCCTCCAGATGCCAGCAGGGTGTGCACACGCTTCAGGATCCCCCTGGACACTGTTAATGGAAAAGTCCCCAGAAGAGAGATAAGCCAATTCTCCTTGGTCGACTGCCAAAATATGTCACGGTCAACTTGGTAGACAGTCAGAGCAAACTCGTGCCTTTCTCCCAGCATGCCGAGTCCCAAGTACACTCAAGCAGTCGGTGCAACCTGCAGGAGTGAGTCACTGTGACTCCGGAAGCTGCCCAAAGCATCTCAGACACGGTCTCACTGCCTGCAGAGATGGCTGGGAGGTCAAAATAATAGTCTTCTTAAAGACAATTGCAATCCTAGTTGACAGCGGGAGCCGTGGAGGTGCAGCAGGGGAGTCGGCTGTCCCACAGCCACACAGCAAGGCTAAGGGCCTGGACTGAGTGACTTGTACACTCCCCTTCCCAAAAGGAAAGTGCAGTGGAAAAGCCCCTCCTTCCTGTGGATTTCAAATGATTCACTGCAGACCCTTCGTGCCCCTCTTGGCTGGTGCTGCATCCCTGTCCCCTGCGAACTGCCCGCCCCTCCCAGTTGAGGTCCGGCCCCAAGCTGCAGGAGAGTCCCTGGGGCTGACCGACCAGCCACCTGGGCAGCACCTCTTACCTGGACTTTGGAACCTCCCCAGCGGATGAGAAGGATGTGGCACGACTCCGGCCTGACGGCAGCTCTCTGGGGGAAAGAGGTGTCCTGAAAGAGGCCCCCAGCTTCCCTGCTGCCTGCCATTCAGTGGCTTCCATCCTCGAGGCTGCCCGGCAAGTCCTGCCATTTCTGCCTCACATTTTCCTTCCCCAGCACCCAGGGGCTCTCCCACCCTGTGACATCTGTGACATTGCTGGATAGGCTTTCCCATGCTCTGCCCTCTATAGGGCCCGGCAGAGCTCTGAAAGGTGGAAGCCTCTCCACATCCCCAGGGAGGGTCGGGCCCCCCGCACAGCATGCCCCCCTGTTGCTGCGCTCCCTCCTGGCCTCCTTGCCTTACATGGTGCAGCCCTCCGATTCGTCCTGCTTGGTGATCCAGCTCTTGTCCCCCTTCAGCGTGGTTCGCACTTTCATTTGCTTGAGGACATTATTGCGCTCCTCCTCGCCAGGTGGCAGAGGCTTCCCTGCAGTGGGCAAAGCCAACCACCTCAGAAGAGGAGCCCAGCCCCAGGACTCTCCGCCTCCTTTCCCTTTGCTGCTGGGACAGTGCTTGTGGCCTGTAGGGGCAGGCTTGGAAGAAAACAGCCCCAAGCAGAGCCCAGGACAACAGGGAGCCCAGCCTCACCTTTGGTGCTGCCACCGAGAGCTGAGATACTCATGGTGATCGCTCCGTAGGTCTCCTCGGTTATTCAGCAGGGCTGTTGTGGGCAGAGGCAAGCAAATGCTGTCACTTCATGCATTTCTAGTGTCTTGCAGGTGAGCATGTGTGTTCTGGTGCATTCAGATCATCCAGACTGCCCTCTGGGCATCGGGGCTGGCAAGAGTTGGTGGAGTGCTAAGTGTGGGCAGAAGCCAGGGGCGAGCAATACCGTACCTGCTGCCCAGCAGCACACCCATCTGCCTGCCCAGGGCTGCTCACCTAAAGAATGTGGAGCTCAGGGGCTGCCAGGGACTGTCTGCTCAAAGCGATCTCTGGTAACGGGAGAACATGAGCTCCTACAGCGCTAATGGCCTGGCTCAGGCTGGGGAGTGTGGGGGAGGAAGCTGGCACTGGTGAACTCAGAGGGTAGGACAGTGCACCCAGAGCCCAACACCTTCAGGACAGGCATATGGCCTGTGAGGAGGGACGGGCTGGGGGACCAGCTGCTTTGGTGTTGGATCTTGATTCTCGCCCCTTAGGAGCTTTCCAACCGACCATGGGTAGGTCAGCTAACCTCTCTGAGCTGCCTCAGTTTCGCCATTTGCAAAATGATAGCTTTTTAAAAAAAATCTACCTTTTAGGGCCACTGTGAGGATAGAATGCGCCGATGTTCCTCTAAGTACCGGCACCACCTGAACAGGAGTCAAGTGGCAGTAGTTCTCAAGTCATCAGCTAGGAGACGGGTGGTGGGCGGACCTCAGCCACAGCTAGAATGGTCTGGGCTGTGCAGCCGTTTGCTTCGGGGGTTGGCTCCACCTTCAGTGCGGGAGGCCCACGGCCCCGCTGCCAAATCCTAGTGGCCCTCAGGGACCAGGTGAGTGTGGCAATGTGGTAAGGGCTTCCTTTCACCCCTGGGTCACACGTGCCTCACGATCTGCTTCCTCTTCCTCTGCGTCTTCTTGCCCTGCTCTGCCCCCTGAGCCTGATGCTGGTCATACTGCCCAGAGGGTGCCACACTGCCTGCAGCCCCTCTGCCCTTGAGCCTAGTGCTGCCCTCCCGTGCCCATGAGGGGTGCGCTGTGGTCGTCTTGAAGGCCTTTGCCTAGAGGAGCAGCCGAAGTGATGAAGCTGGCTCTTCAGGCTGCGAGTGACCCAGAGCTGCTGGGAGCCCTGAGTAGCCACAGTCAACCCCTTGGGCCTTAAGAGAAGGGCTGGGGGCTCAGGTTTGTGGACGTGACAGGAAGCAGGGCCCTGGCAGTGCTGGCATACTTGCAAAGTAGAAGAGCCTTTCTCTCCAGGGCTGTTCGTCTCCTGGGCCCCTCCAGGGCTAGGATCTGAGCAGCTCAGCACTGCTGCCAGCTGGCAGGGCCTGGCCACGTTTCTGTGGAGGTCAGGGGCACACTCAAATGGACAGGGCAGGGGGATGAGAGCAAACCAAATTCGCCACGTCAGCAAGAGCTGGCTCTCCCATAAACTGCAGTGAACGAGCAGCCCAGGCAGCCCGAGCCTGCTGTGTGCCAGGAATGGCACCTCATCACTGCGAACAGGAGTCCCACGTGCCCAGCCCTGCACCAAGGCTGCCACGTTAGAGTTCTTTTGAGAGGAGCTCATTCCACAGGTGATCCTAGGGCCACACAGGCCCAACTGTCCCCACCCCAGCGACCTGTGGAGTGGCCCCATAGGCGGGGCACATGGGAGGAGTCTCTGGCTACAGACCTTGGGAGAGATCCTCATTTCCTCTGGGCTCAGCTTTTCACCTGCAGGAGGAGGATCTCCTAGTCCTTAGTTTTTAGGTTCCTTCTAACCTTGGACCTTAGAAAGGAGTGACCGGTCACCTCAAAGATATACTCCTTTCTAAGGCCTCAAGGACTGCAGCCACAGGCTTCCACATATGAATGTGGCAAGCAGGTGACAGTCATCCAATTTTGGGAGTGGACTCCATCCCAGGCCCAGTCCTAGATGCGGGGACTCATCAGTTTCCCCTTGTCAAACCTGATGGCCATATTACCTCGAAGTTTCCCAATAAATCAGAACCAAATAAGCCACTTCCGAAGTCAAGACAGACACTTTTGCCCATGCGTAATGACAGAGGCAGAGGGGCCCATGGCAAAGGAGGGCAGGGCTGGGTGGAAACGCCACCAGTCCCCTGCAGAGGGCACCATGCTGCCTTCGGTCCCTTCTTTATAGCTGAGACTCCAGTGAGAAGACTTGGGGTTTACTGCCAGACAAAGACCAGGGCTGTGTATCTGCATGGGCTCCTTTCCCTCATGCCTGGCTGTGTCTCACAAGTGAATTTTCTTTTTTGATGAGACAATAAGTATGAAATGGTCAGAAAAATCTCTGCCAAAGTAGAGTCTTTCCAAACGATGAAGTGTCAGGCACTTCTCTGAGACAAGGAAGCTTTAAAGTGATGAGTGTCAGTCAGAGGGATGGGATGGGGTGGGGTTGGATGGGGTGGAGTGAGGTGGGATGGGATGGGGTGAGATGAGATGGGATGAGATGGGATGGGGTGGGATGGGATGGGATGGGGTGGGGTGAGATGAGATGTGATGGGATGGGGTGGGTTGGGATGGGATCGGTGGGGTAGAGTGGGATGGGATGGAATGATGTAGACTGGGGTGGGGTGGGATGGGACGGGGTGGGCTGGGAAAATAGGGTTAGAATCTATGTCCCAGCTGGAGAGCTGGCTTCTCCCTCCACTTTGCCCACGTCTAGGCAACAATCCCTTGTGACCTTCTCCTTGGTCCCTGGCCTGCTGCCTTTATCTGCACCTCCTCCAGGCAACACTCATTGGTCTCTAATTCAGCCTTCAATTCTCACTCAGCACCTGATGGTTCACCATTGTTTCTAAGACTGGGAGCAAAGTCCCCAGTCCCCTGAGCCAGCTTCTTTCCTCGCAATACCGACACTGTGCTCCAAGCAGACCATGTGCCTTGGAGTCTCTGGAAGGTAGCCCTGCCAAGGGAAGGCCTATGCCTTGGCTTATGCTGGCCCACGCACCTGAAATGCCATCTCAACTCCCACCGAGCTAGGCCCTGCTTCTCCCTCAGGGCCCAACACATCCAGGCCAGTCCTGCTCCTACTGGGCACTCCCTTCCCCTAACTCCCATAGCCAGGCACAGACCTGCAGACCCAAGTCTTCCCAGACAAGCCCTGCTCCTCCCCTATCCTCAGCAAGGATCAGGCCCAGCACCCCGTGACAGCCCAGCACACCCCACTGGGAGTGACTGCCTGACCCACCTACCCCTCCTCGGACCCAGGTCTCCTCCCAGACCCACTGCCCCCTCCCCTTGTCTGGCCCTTCATGGAGAGCAGGACAGAGTGACCCTCCACTCAGTGACAGCCACGAAGACCCTTGCTACAGTTGGAAGCAGCCTTGGAGAATGGAAGGTGGACCCCTCCAGAGGGGACTTCCTGGTGGCTCTTGTGGGAAGGAAAATCTTTTGACAGGACGAGTCTCTGTACGTATCAAAAGGCTTAAGGGCAGGCCCACTGGTCCAGGAGTTCCCCTCGCAGCCAACTAGCTGGAGGAAGAAATTGCATGATTACAACAAAGATGTATAGGAGACGGGCGTCGTGACAGTCTGGAGTATCACGGTGAAAATGTGGCGATCATCTAAATGCCCAACAATCATATTTAAACGTATTACAGTGTATCCATTCAAGCAAATGCTATGCCCCTATTACAAATCATACTGAGACATGTAGTATTGAACATGCTTTGTAAACTTGTACTGTGTACAGTTTCTATACATCACTGAGTGAACAGCAGCCTGTAAAGCAGTATGTGTATGATGGTGTCACCTAAGTAAAAACATATTTACATAAAAATGCACAAGGAAACACATCTGAAAAGATAAACAGCAAAATATTTTGCTCTTCTGTGTATTTCTAATTTTCCTGTCATGAACGTGTATCGTCTGTGTGCTAAACATGAGGCCAACAGTGGTTTACCCAAATGAAGTGGGAGTGAGGTCTGCTTGGGCAGCCAAGGATTGGTCTCCAGAGTTGATGCCAGAGCCAGGCACTGTGGCTCATGCCTGTAATCCCAGCATTTTGGGAGGCCAAGGTGGGTGGATCACCTGAGGTCAGGAGTTTGAGACCAGCCTGGCCAACATGGGGAAACCCAATCTCTACTAAAAATACAAAAATTAGCCAGACTTGGTGTCAGGTGCCTGTAATTCCAGCTACTCCGGAGGCTGAGGTAGAAGAATTGCTTGAACCTGGAAGGCGGAGGTTGTAGTGAGCCAAGATTGCACCACTGCACTCCATCCAGCCTGGGCAACAGAGTGAGACTTCGTCTCAAAAAAAAAAAAAAAAAAAAAAAAAAAAAAAGAGTTGATGCCCGGCAGGCAGTGCCCAGGAAGGACGGGAAAGCGAGGAGAGTGAATGGATGCAGGGACTGGATGCCCTTCCCAGGGCTGCACCCAGGTCCTAGCAGTGCAGCCGGAAGACGTGGTCACTGGGACGGTGGCCTGGGCTCTGCTATGCAATGAGAAGCATGCCTTCCTCTGGGAAGCAATCACAACACTGGCTGCCCTCGCTGGAGCGTGGCCCAGGTGCCAGGTGGGTGCCCCGTATGCACACTCCCAGGATCAGGTCCCTGAAGGCCAGCAGCACTGCATGCAGCTCGGGCACAAGAACGGTGTCAATGTCCCTGCCTTACCTCAGCAGAGTCAGCCAGGAGTGGGTCCATGGCAGCCCTAGCCACACTCCCAGGGTTCTGAGCCCCAGGAACGAGGCCCCGGCAGCCCAGGCACACCCACCATCAGTTGCCTCTATGGCTTCCTCCAAACCGATGGGCCCCAGCAGACATACTCCCCCACTGGAGGGAGGAGACACTTCAGACTAGAGCCGCCTACCCCATGCCTACCTGTGCTGCTCGGCCTGCTGCAGCCACAGAAGCCTGCCACACGTGACTCCAGGACCACACGGAGCAGCCTAACCATCCCCACTGCCCTACACTCTCCGTCCGAGTTCAATGTGCCAAGCTCTCTCATGCCTCGTGCCTGAGATCCAAGATTTGGAAAAAGTTCCTGAAGAAAAAGAAACTGCTGT